TTGTATATATTCTTAGTACAGCTTTTTAAAATATATTTCTACTTCTTGATTTTTAATCAAATTAATTAATTACAATTTATATTTTCCACCACTAAACTACATAAATTCCACGTTATTTTTTATATATATTTATATTGAAATATACAAACATCTTAAGTTGCTTTAAATATTAAGAAAAATAAAAAATATAAATACAAATTTGCCTTATAACCGAAACAAGTTCCCAGCACTTGACACTAAAGTATTCATCCCATTATTCCACATGGTAGGAAAATAAACACATTTCAAGGAGCGTAAAAAAATATGTAAACATCCGCTGTTTTAACACTTCTGCGATAACTGCTTGATCGTGTTACGATTCACATTTTTAAGGAATTGTTACAATGTTGAAGTATATAATATGTGACGTACTACAAAACATAACTATAGTTGGATTTTTCCATAAAAAAATCCAAAAATTCGTTAATAAAATATAGAAATAATAAACGAACATTAAATCAAAAGCGGAAGTTTCATTAGTAATTAAATTTATTGCTCGCTTTATTAATAAATTTTTATTTATACTATTATTCTATAACAAAACTGTAACAAAATCCATATCAAATAATGCTTCCAATGTTCTTCCGTTTATAATTTTTTATCCGAATATAAACATAAGATCCCCACACAATAATCACTTGACGATCACTCATAATCCGATCATATATTTCCAAACTAATGAACCTACTTAACGGACTAAAGAATTGACTGGTCAGCTATATAAATTGAAATTACAGTGACGGACTCTTAAAAAATTTATGGAAAAAAATTTCATGAAATATGTTTTGTTATAGAAATGTATGAAAAGATTCATCATTAAATTATTCTGTTAAATTATAGAAAATTAATTTTTTTGTAATAATTAGTTAATTGAAATTTTTTTTTTGATCTTTTAACAAGCAATTTCAATCAAAAGCAATTTTAAATTATTTTTAATTAAAAACATCGTTACTCATATTTGATAACTCCCCATCATGATAAATTCGCTACTGTGCTTGTTGCATAAAACAAAGTTAAGAAGTTTTATTAATTCCCCATCAATGAACTTCCACATTATTGTAAATACTTCATTCAGTATTAAGACGAGCTTAAAAATTGAAACTGCTAAAGTTGTTCTTATGTTCGTTTAATGTTTATTTTGTTTTATTCACTTTTTATAGATCCACAAACCATTTCGAAGAGGCAAAGTACAAAAAAAATCTTATTATTAAAAAAAATTAATTGCCACCCACATAGAAGTATCTTTGTGTATCCATAATTACTGTTTTCTTGCCTAATTTAATGTGACATAAATAACTTTAATAATTTTCATACGAAAGAAATCATGGAAGAGAAAATTTTACGCATACATCGTTAAATTCAATGTCCTTGAATTTTTTTATTTTTTTTTTAATTTTTGAGAATCTTTACAAAATTTTTAAACGTTTTTATAAACTAACAAGAATAGTCTGTATTAAGTGTGTTCACGATCTATGGCTTGTTTGAGTTTAAACTGTGATGAAGACGTAAAGAAATTTTTAAGTATATTATTATTTTTATAGAATTATAAAATAAAAGAGGGACGTTATTTAGTTATGTATTAAAATATAAAATAAAGTATAAATTCCCATCAATAAACTTAATGGTTAAATTGAAATAAGAAAATTACAAACACTATAATCATTTCAATTTCATAAAGTGTACCCTTTTCATATACTATCCATATAACAGAATGTATTTCTCTAACTAACTTGTAAAATAATATAATAATGAACACAACAGTAGTTTATGCGTTGTTAATTTTTGAGGAAAATATATGGTGTTATTTTATTTAATTTTATATAGTTTATGCCTTGCTAATTTTGAGGAAAATATGGTATTATTTTATTTAATTTTCATTTATTCACATGTGCAGCTTGTGTTCAAACTTATTCCCCCTTCAGTGCGCCCAAGTATCTTTTGTCATTATTAAGTGTCGCAAAAAGTAGACAAAATTGTAATTTGATATTTTGTTTCCAGTAATATTTTTCCTTTTGTTTTTAATAAGCTTCAATATATAATACATACGTCCAGTGCATTTTGTTAATATAGTTTTTGTTTACTTCTATATACTTGTATTTTCATTTACTCGATGTATGTAAGTTGGTTCTTTGTATATTTTAAGGTTAGGTTCAAGTTTAGTTGGCTTTAAGGGTAAAAATTATCGATTATTCCTTCGTTAAAATTGACTAAGTTAAGTTAAATATTTTTCTTTTTACTTTGTTGTTTTTTTTTTGTTTAAGGATGTGGTTTATGTGGCATTTTGATTCCTGATTTTAATATAAAAATTTGTGTATTCAAATGTAAATTTATTTTAATGCAATACAAATATTTGTCTTTATTGGTATTTCAAGAGTTGACTTTTGTTTGTAAAATGAGTATATAAAAAATATATAATAAAAACAATCTTTGATGATTTAACGATTTCCTAAATTCAAAACATTCCATGATTAAAAATTTTATTTTAAGGTTTTTGGGTCCTACATATATCTATTGTACATAACTTATATATCAACATTAGATACTATTACTGTTACAGCACTTTTAATGATGACATCATATCATTAATTTAATTTTACTATTCAAAAATATTTTAAAATTAAGAAAATTTATAAAATTTTTGTTTAAAGCATGAAACATAAAATATTTTTTATATATATATATATAGCATGTATTTATAACCGTTTATATATCAGCGACACTCATCTATTTCACTTTTGGGTACATTTGAGACTCAAACCGATTAGAATTTATAGAATTCAGCTCTCAGAAGAGCCTAATATTGTAATTTAGAAATAGTAGTACAAAATTTGAATGCTCTAAAAATAAGTATGATATGATATTTATATATAGCTAAATCATGATTTAAATGTTTGGGCGATAAAAGAAAAAATTGAAAAAAGGACAAAAACTCACAAAAGACTATTGGGAAACCATGCAAAAAGCTGTTAGAAAAAAAATGGATTCAATGATCTATGTAGATGCAGTGCACTGGAACTTATGATATTATATGATAAGCATTTGATTCCGTATAAGGTAATAAAGGTTTTCTTTCCAATGCAGTTTCAAACACACTGTCTACACTAAGTGGAGAAGATATTAAAATATATACAGATTTGCCGGCAGTACTCTGCTGGTTGATACTACTATATCAACCATATTTACTTTATATTTATATAATCAAGGATTATTTGTCATTTCTGTGATGTAGTTGCTGAAACGCTTAAACACATACGCTATCCTTTTTATCTTGGTGCCATACTATAATCCTTATATAGAATATGGAACAGAACAATATCAATCGAGCTTAAGACTTCATTAAAAGCCAAAGGATCGATTAAAACCACTGTAGTTAGCATAATAAATTATCGTAGTGTATAGTATTCCCTACATAGTACGAGTTATAATGAATATTAAATATTTTTAAATTTTGTTAAATGATCAATATCGATATTTAAAATATGGGAATACACAGGGGGAGTAAGCACTACTAAAACATTGCCTAAAAAATATATTTTCTAATATATTCTTTCCTTGGTAAACCGAATTTTTTTAATAAAATATTCGATATGGCTGAATTTCAATTAAAAAAGTATTGAATGCAATATTTATCACGTGAATGAAATACTACTTTTTATTTATCAAAATACTTCTATGTGAATGTACTACTGGAAACCTCAATGCTAACATTTAATAAATTTGAAGCAGATATGTATAATGTTTTTTTTTAATATTTGTTTAGAACCACATATGTCCACAAGGCAACATCCTTTTTGCAGTATAAATAAAAATCCTTAAGAAATGCATCAATGAAATCATCATATTCTCTTAATGATCAGCTCTCAAAGGACATAGGACATTTGCTGGTTGGTATGCGACGAGCAGTCATAACGTGGTTATTTCAAATTTATCGTGTTATCTATGTCGGCAGATCTTAATGAAAGTAAAACAGTTTACCAAATTTAATTTTCAATTCCTTGCCTTTGCCTTTGTAGTGTTTTCAAATATTTAAATAAGTTTATTTGTTTTAACGGAAATGCAGATGGCATATCCGCACCCATGTTTACATTTGGAAATGTGCATTAGGCAAGAAGGTTCAGAGAAAGTCAAGGATGCTCCTTGTGTATATTACAAGCGCATCAATTCTATCGCATGTGCACTTTAATGATTGACATTTAAAAGCAGAAACATAACTGAAATTATATATTTGAATACAAACCCAAAAAAAAGAAAAGAAACAAAAACTAAAAACTGAAAACTAATCGATCTATTATTGCAGACATAGTTACAAGTGCTTTCCTATTGACAGCTTTTAGTACCGACCGAATGCATTAACATCAGGAGTAAGGCTTTCATTGCATTCACAAACATTTCAAAATTACATAAATATTTTAAATGTTTTTAGTAAAAGTCACAAAATTTAAAAATTTCAAAATTGCAAATATTCATTTAGTTTTTCCATGTTAAACTAATATTTGCGCAACCCTGACACTAATCATTGGAAGATGTGCATGTGAGTAAGTTTTCGGCATTTGAGTTTGTTCTTCTTGTAATTGTCAAACGTTGTCACCTTGTCGCAAAGTAATGTCATCTCCATGTAATTTCATTAATTTATGCATTTCAAAATGAAACGTTTAAAAAATTTAAATTAATTATTAAATATTATTTTGAATTTTCCGCGCTTCTTGCTCTTTTGAAATTTTACTTGAAATACGAATAAATAATAAATAATAATTAATTATTAAAATGTTTAAAAATAATTTAATTACTCGATTTTATTTTTATATTCGTACAAGTATTTTGTAACACAGATATATTTTTTTTGTTTTGAATATATTTATATATGCATTGAAAATGTATATATCTATTTACCATATGTACGTATGTAGATTTGTAGTTTGAATGGTATAAATATATATTTTTTTTGGTTTAAATTTACTTACTCTTTGTGCTCTGCTGCCCGATCGCGCTGTCTGCGATTTTTGAACCAATTGGAAACCTGTAAAATTACATTAAGAATACAAAAGGAAATTTATTTCAAAGATGAATAAATTAGGTTGAAAATGACGAATGATCTTTAATGAGTTAATATTTTTGAATTATTTTTCAACTTTTTATTATGATTAATAGCAATAAGACTTAAATTATTTATCTTTTAGTTTTTAAAAGTTTAAGATTTTTTGCTTTTATTATGTTTAATATTTAATTTTATACGAGTGTATAAAAATATTTCAAATAAAATATTTATTAATTTAATTATTTGTTGGTTACAAATATGAAAAGGCATGGGAGGCAAAGAGAAAGCCATATTCATATGAAATATGTGGATAAGTTATATGTATATTGCAATACCTGTATGTATATTACGTAGAAGAGAGAATTAAATATTTTAAAAATTTTTTAATAATTTATTGTTTTAATGACCAAAAAATTTATTAAAAATAATTTTTTTTTTTCAGGCTAATTGGACAATAGTTAAATAATAAACTTTTTAAAAATATTTATTTGTAGGGTTTTCGAATAACAAAGAAAGAAATAAAGGACAAATACAAAAAACCCCTCTTGCTATTCGAAAACCCTCTAAATTTTAAATAAAGCTTCTTTGTTACCAGAAAGTGTACCTTTCCAGCAACATTAGTACTTTATTCAAAATATTTATTTGTTTTATTTTTATCGATATTTCGACTATAATCTAAATCTATAATCTAAATAATCTAAGCTATAAACTATAGTCGAAATATCGGTAAAAATAACACAAATAAATATTTCTAAAAAGTTTATTATTTAACTGTTGACCAATTAGCCTATAAATTTTTTAAAATTAATCGTTTTTTTGTTTTATATTACTTTAAATAATATGAAAAATATTTAAATAGAAACTTTCTTTTATTTCAGTCTACTTTGTAGACCAATTTTAGTGTTATTAATTAGTAATAACTCAAGGTTAATAAACCTATTAATATCAATTTTTTCCCCTACAATATTTTCCAATTTTTAATCACAATAACTTTAGTTCCATAATTCTTTGACCCAAAAATATTTTGCTGCAGAGAGAAAGAGAGAGAGAGAGAGAGCATTAAGAATATCTTTTTTAGTCTTGACGCTTAAAAGGTAAATATCAAGCCTGAAGGCTTCGTAATATAAAAGCAGAATTATATGTACCACATATCTCGAATTTTCGAATAATGCTCTTGCGTTTGTGTAATCATACTAAAATTTGTGCATTTTTGTTGAAAAAACACAGTAGATAGGTCGCTGTAAAGCAGGACTGTCCAGACCAGATGCGATCGCGGGTCAATACCAATCACAGTCAGTGGCGTAACTACAGGGAAGCAACTGGAAGCAACGCTTTCGGGCCCGAATTTAGGGGGCCCCACTATAAACGTTTGTAAACGTTTTTTGTTGGAATAACTTCATATTGCATTTTATAAAAGATACGTAAGTTTTAAATTTAAAGTACATAATATGTATGTACTTCAAATAAAATATTAAACCTATTTATAATATAAAAAAGTTTTTCTAAGAAAAGTATGTGTCTTAATCGAGAGTTTATATGGAAGCTATATCTAGATTTAAACCCATTTGAAAATAATTTTGTACGTTGTCTTTTGCAAATATCAGTACTGTATACACCAAATTTTATTTGAATACCTTTATTAAAAACGGAGAAACCTCATATCTGATTGTTAAGTTTATATCACAGCTACAAGAAATAGACGTCCAATTTTAATCAAATCAAATGGTGAACAGGGTCGGCTAAAAGTATGTGTGTAAAGTTTCATTCAAAGAGTTCAAAAGCTGAGAGAGTAGTTTGAACTGAAAAAGTATATATATACTGTACTGATATATACTTAATGGTATTTCCGACGTTTCCTTTAATGCGTTACGAAAATCTTGACAACCCTTATATACCCTTTTCACATTTTTCGTGTAAAGAGTATAAAAAGAGGGGCCCCTTAGTATGTTGATAGGGGCCCCTTAGTTAGAATTTGCTTACAGGCCTAAAAAATGTAGTTACGCCACTGATCACAGTACAGATTGGAGGGCGGCAAAAAAGAAATACATGAGTTCAACGTTGTTTTCGACAAAAATAAAAACACGGTTTTAATGTTAAATTTAATTTTAATTATTTATCAATTTAAATTTATTCACTTGGTATACTCTAAAAATAAAATAGTGTGGTTTTACAAGTACACAAGAAGAAAATTCGCGTAATTGTAGTAGATTAAAAATATGTCGCGGGCCGCACAAATATTAACCACATCTTTACCTACAAGGATATATTAGATATCTAATTAAAGGATATTTCACATATTCATATTAACATATATAACATATTAAAATTGGAATATTGAAAATGCAATATATGTTTTTTTCGTTTCTTGGACGAAGGTATTATTTTTGGATTTATGTCTCATAGGCCCAAAGTACCCATATCTAAAAGTGTTATACCGTTAAAATTTTACAAAATATTTTTAATATAATGTAATATTGAAACTAGAATTTTTTAATGAATAAAAAAATGTGTGAAAAAATAAAATTGTTATTCGCTGGAGATTTACCAATCAAAAATGAAAATTGCACTATATGTGAATCTAGATTGAAAAAGTTACCCCAGATTTACCAATTGAAAACGGCATTAGTAATAATAAATTCAAAAGAACTATAGTTCACATGTAGTGTAACATACATTTTTGATATATACTGAAACTGAAAACTGAAACTGAAAATCAACGTCTTGATTAATGGAACCAATTATTGGAATAATAAGTCTGGCAGTGCCACATCGTAATTGATTTTGATAGAGTATTATTATAAATTTTAAAAGTATGATAAATTTTATTTTTCAAGAAAAGCATGTAAAACAATATTTCGGTCTAAATTATTATTTTTGTAAAGTTAAGTATGGTAAACTACATATAATATTACTTCATAAAAACACTTACTTGTGTAGTTGTCAGTCCGGTAGCCTCTGCTAGTTCACGTTTTTCACGTGGCGATGGATATGGGTTATGTGCGTACCAGTCTCTTAATACTGATCGAGATTTTTCCTGAAATATATATATATATATATATAAAATACAAAGTATTGACATTGGGATGACACAGTTGTAAATTGTATATACTAACATATATAATATGTTTAACGACTCTTTTATAAAATATGGAATTTATATTAAAATAAAAGTCAAATGCGTTTTGAAATAGTACCGGGAAAGCAGTTCTTAATTGAATAGTTTAATCTTTATTTTTGATGTTTAATCTTTCTAAATTAAAACTTCTCTGAGATTTTTAATAAAGCTGTTTTTATTTATTTGACTTATCTCGATTTCCTAAATGTCTAAAAACTAAAAGTTATCATTTTAAGTCGCTAATTAAATTTCTTCTCATTCAAAAAAATTCAAAAAATTAAAAGAAAAAACAAACAAAAGGTAATCAAAAGAAGCCTTTTGCACAATAAAAAACAACTTCATTTATGTAATCATTTAAACAGGAAATTGTACTTCAAATCCATAAAATGTACACATGTGAATTCTACATTAACCCAGTTTCCTTGCGTGTAAGCAAAACCCTGGGTAACTTAACTTCAAATTGAGGGAGAAATTTTGTTGCACAGAACACTGCTACGATTTCCTTGTGGCTTTCGACTTTGTTTGATTTTTATTTACCTTACAAAGGATACCCCTAGTACCTTCAAAACGATTGAAACAAAAAAGTTACTTTCGTTCATTTAACCTACCTTAAAGCAGTAACTCGTCTCTTCACCGTCCCAAATTGTGCGCGGCAGTGGAAATTTACGACGTACTCGATATTTACCAACAGCACCTAACGGTCTTCCGCGCAGTTTTTCGGCTTCTACATAATGCGCTACAATTATAAAAAATAAAAATATAAATAACAAAATCAAACCGAAACAAATTTTTTTTTATTTTAATTTTTAGTAACGCTAGGTACGACACCAGGATAATATAGTTTACCTTTTAACCAGAGGCTTTGAAGTTTGGTATGATTGTGCGGTGAGAATTGATGAAGTTCCAACAGACGATACAGATCCTTGTATTGTCCGCGATGGAATGCAACAACGGCTTTTGCTTTCAGCACAGACTCGTTTAATTGCAGTTTATCACATTGTGGCAATGACCATAAAAATCGACCCAGTCTTTCAATGTTACCAGCTTGTTGCAGGACCTGTAGATAATAATGTAGAGTTTGACAAGAGTTTATTTGGATCTCAAAGTTTACATTTTTATACATTATCAAATATAACATATTTTTATAAATTTGACTAAAGTTATAGGTTCAAACAAACCTCACAAACGCAAGCCACTTGCTCCTGTGTAAATCCAAAGCTAGGCAAAGATTCACGTCCGCCGGCGCCATTGCTACTTCCACTATTGCTGCCCATGTGGACGTTATTGTTGTTATTGGAGACGCCACTACCGGCGCCGTTGTGTCCCAACATATCCAGATTGTTATTACTGCTTAAGCTGTTATTGTTATTTGTTAAACTGGAACTACTCAGACTAGTTGGACTGTAGGGAGGCGTTTGTCGTGCGTTCAGTACAGCCGCATTTGCAGCGGCTAAGTCATAAAAATCAGTGGCGGGATGATGGAGCATTTTGTGTTAGTTTTTTATTTCTTTGTTCACTTTTGAATAATTATACAGAATGGATATGCAATTCTTAATTCTCTTTTTAATTTATTTTTTTATATGTACAAATTCATGTTTTAATTCTTTGGTGATTTTGCTGAAAATATAAATAATAATTTTTATCATAAAAAATATACAAAAACAGTGAAACTCAAAAATATAGATAAATTTTTTTCCTTTTTATAAACTTAATCAAAATAGAAGTAAATAATTGAATAAATCCCTAAATGCAATTTATTAAAGTTCTCTGGAAGAAGTGTGGAACGTATCAAATAAATCAGTTACTTTTTCTCTACAATATTAGTCTATTGAAGAGAATCTATTAGTTTTAAACGAGAACCTATTATATATAATCGGTTGACTAACTATTTCAAAACTATATAAATTTGTTCGTGAACACATGAATTAAATAGTACAGTAAGATCTAATCTCATAGTTGAATAGAGAATTACGAATATACTTCATGTTTTGTGCTGTATCTGATCCCAATCGTCAAAAGATAATATAGCATCCTAAATAAGGGTGAGAGTAACGAAAATATGAACTCTCACCCCAGTATTCTTCTCTTGCCTAAATTAAACAAAAAACTGATTAGCAGTTATTATCGGAAAAGATGACAATCTTTGACCTGAGGTAGAATCATCTTATGGAAATAATATACTTGAAGTGTTAAGCCAATAACGACGTCTTTCGGTTTTTATCAAGCTATTATTTAGAGATTAAGTTTTGGAATAACACTATAATTCTACAATAAGGCTTTGGTGTACAAAATTTTTTGACTGAACTGCTTTTTATGGCATTATCTGTGAAATAGTTACTATTAATTCCAGCATAAGCATTTTCCGGTTATGACTTGCCACCATTTAGAGTGTATTATAGTAGTTAGCGCTTAAGTGTTTGTATAGATATAGATATGAAGTGTAAGAGAAAATGATGGCTGGCTCGGCAGAAGATTGATTGCATTGCAAAGGTAAAATAGTTCTGCTCTAACTCTTGCAGGACATAATTTTTTGATATCAAATTCATTATACTCCTAGATAGAAATTTGTTATATTAAATAATTTATAGGTGTTGAAAAGTAAATTAATGATAGATTATTATTTTATTATATTATAAATAACTCGTATATGTCCCTTTTTCAACTTCAAAAAATATCAATCAATTTTTAAGTCTATTTAAAACGTATAGTTTTCAATCGTGGCTATTTCTAAAAATGTTGAAACAATATTTTTTTTATAAGCTGAATAATGTTCTAAACAAATTAAAAATAAAGAATAAAGCAAAATTTTGAATTTGTTTATAGAGTAGAATATCATATACCCACTTGCGTCACACCATCGAATTTCACACAAAGTTTCGAAATATGGCCTAAGAAATTCTATTTTCAGTCTGAGAAATTGAAGAAAACCGAAAGAAACTTGGCGTTGGTATCGGATCGTCATTACATGAACATGAGATACACAAAAATTGTGAAAACAGATTCAAGAATATCTCAAATCTCAACCAAAATGTGTAAACGTGAAAATTTATACATAGAAAGTGATAGGTATACGTAAATTGTTGCTATAAAATGAAATATGTACAGTGGGTTAAATGTATTTATATTGCTTATTATTAAATAATTTACTTAAAAGACAAATTATGAGCTAAGAGCGTAATAACAAAAATCCTCGACAAAAGAGAAATTGGATCCTTTATTCTTTGTTTATGTTATAATTAACCTAAGAAGAGAATTGGTATTAAGAATTTATAAGTAAAAGCGAAAAAGTTCCTTAATATGTTTCATTCAAGTTATAGATTAAAATTAACGGGTATGAGTCCTCGAAATGAAAATATTCTAGTTAATTTATTTTTAAATATTCTTAGTGAATGAAAAATAGTTAATATAAAGTAAACTAATTAATAAATAATAAATTTTAAAAGTTATGTGAAACAAGAATGTTTCCTCTAGAGTACGGAAAAAAATTTATACATATAAAGCTCATAGACACATATCACTTAAATTTTAAGAAGAGATAATTATCTCGATGATTTATAACTATAATGCTATTGATGACCATATAGTTAGTCAATATCCTTCCGTATAAAATTTAAACTAAATGGTTTCGCTGTCTGTAGTATGTTTAAATTTGGTAGTTTCTTGTCTGATTAATTTAAAATGATGGCTTTCGTTTCAAAATCACATATTCTGAAATTATTTTAGTTATAAGAAAGTGACAACAGTCATTGCTGAAATATAGGATACTACTCCTTATATACAGAAGATTCTCAGTTGAAATCAGTTGAAATATAAGCTTCTGTCAAAAATAAGTTCACTTAAATTGTGAATTACCATCGCATAATACGGCCAAAGTTTACCAAATAAATTATTTGAAGTTTGTAGTCTCCGATAGAGTTAAACAAGGTTTACTACTAGATTAGATATACTTATTACCTATATTTATATTAGACAATTTCTACAAATGATGGTAAAACTTGGAGTATTGCGCACTATAAAAATAATAGACTTAAATTGTAAACTATTATTTAGAGTTATGGTTCACAATTGTGAAAATAAAAGATACTTGTTAAGCGTTGAGAACTCTGAAAGAGAATCAAGTGAGATAAGATAATGTGAGTTGAACTATGGATTACATAGTTAGGTTGTTAGAACTATTGTTAAACTGGTATTACCATGTAATATGCCTATGTGTACTTAAATGTGTTAATCACTCAGATTTTCTAATTTAAAATAATTACCATATAAATTTTTTGGAAGTAGGTCTCAAACATACAACGAAATGGCCAAAGTTTTTAAAGAATGAGTTATCGGAACTGACTTTCCATTTTTTTGTGACTCATTCTAATTTGTCTTGCTAACAATAAGCTAAATTTACTACATAAGGTAGTAATCGTAGGAATAGATCTTCTCCAATGTGATCTTCAAAGTGCTGTGGATGAGTATTTTAACAGCATTTCTTTGTTAGAGATACTTGCAGTACTCTTAAGTTTTATGACATATGTTGAGACCAATTATAGCATAACTTTGTCAGTAGAACTATGTTCTCTAAATTAGGCTGAGAGTTTCGCAAGAGGAACAAGTAAGATATATTATTTTTTTGGTTGTATGGCAGGTTATAATTGTTTGGTCTTTTTTAGTTTGGTCCATTTAAATACCATATGTATCGTTTGATACTTAACAGACTCACACTATGGGATTACAGTGTTATTGGGTTTAACTTGTGTATAACTTTCTTTTCTAAGAGTATATATTATATTACGTCATAAGATTATTGTGCGTTGATCTTTATCTTTAAGTTAAACAGCCTCTCAGCAACAGTAACTGCAGATACTAAGGTGTTTTAAATGCCATTTAACTGATTTTTGTGTGTAACCGGCATATGTTTTAAGATTTACGTGTTTTTAAAAATGCATGTTTGTAGTCTACATAAGTAGAGATACGGATCCATCACATTTATATGCGGAACTCCAATATCAATTAGATAAATAATTGTATCTTCTTTCTTGTACTGCTTATAAAGTAATTATTACTAAGATAAGTTATTAAAATCAAGAAGAATTTTACGTTAAGTAGTTTTGGATAACAGTGTTCAAATTTCTGGTGGCTTCGTCTAACTTTCCACTCTGGTTTCGGTATGATTACAAGTTGGGAGAGATGATAAAATGTTCGTAGTTTGGTTGTACACTGAAATGGTAGACAATTGTGTATCTTGAACTAATTTCTGATCCCACCTATATACGTGTAGTATAACGGATCGCAAGTTTAACTTAGTAGTAGGAGCTTGGAGTGCTAAATACTTCGGCTTTATTGATAGTTGGAGCAATTTTGTTGTATTTGCATAAACATTGCATACAAATCCATCGCAAAAGCTTAAACTTTTTTATCATTTGAAATATCTAATTGCTCTTCATAAGCTTTACTTGTCGGTTTTTGAAAATGCGCATTTTTTCTTATGGTTTATGGTTATAAAAAAATTTAATTAAATTTGTGTTTATAATCCAAGTAAATATTATTTAGATATTACCTTTGTGAATAATTCGAATTGGTTAATGCATATGTATGTATTAAATTCTGTTCTTTAAAACTTTAGACTTTAAATCCTTCTTCTTTAAGTGTCAGTAATTTTGCAAGCAAGTTATAAACCGAATAGAAACATTTGTTACATATGTTTTTCTTAGACCAGACTCAAATCAAAACTTATGGATCTGATACTGACACCACTAAATGCGTGATTTATACTACATTTAGCATTAGATTACCAAAGTCATATAAAAAAATTTTAAATATTTAATTTTGATTAAATTTTGGAGTTGATATTATTAAGTTTGAATTAATCACATAACTCACATGCATAATAAGAGATATATAGGTACGAGTATGCACCAGGTAAATATATTAAACATAAAGACTAAGTCATGGCCCTTTTTCAACAAAAACAGTTTAAACGTTTGTTTATTTGAGATATTCGTATTTAAATTAACAAATCCTTTTTTATTTTTTCAGCTTTAAATATCAAAAAGAATCAGGTTTCCACTGTGGCTCGTGTTATGTTATGTTTCTTACGAGTAGTTTTCTCAGTTTCTATATACGAGTATTTTGTTCCTTAGCTTGTTTTTGTAGATATTTTATTTTATAATTATTATTATGCTTGTGCCCAAATGAAAAACGTATGTTTTACAGTTGCTCACAAGAAATCACATGAAGAAATTATAAGTATCTATAAACATACAAATTTACTCTTTGAACCAAATACACATGTGAACACGATACATTATACGAGTATATTGCGATCGTTTGTATATTTGAGTAAGATCAGAAAGTCTAAAATCTGAAAATGAGTGAAAGACGGTGTGTAATTTTAGAATTCTTCGTAATATGGGAAGTTTATTTTTGAAAAGTGTTTTCATCCAAACAACAATCCAACAAAAATATGCGATAAAAGTAAGAATAAGTAGAAAAATATTTTGTTATTGTTGTTCAACTTATTTTTTTTAGTATTTTTTTTTTTTTTGTATATTTTAAAAAACATGCGCCCATTAATAAATCAATACCAGGAGTAAAATCTTCAGAGAAGTTATTGCCTAGTCACATTCCTT